CAAAATCTTCTCACCTGCAGCAGGTGGGGACCACCCCATGCACAGGTGCAGCTTCACAAGCACTGCAAGCTGGGATGCTCAGATCTGGTTTGCACCAGGGCTTCTCCCCACTGTGAGCAGGCATGGGACAGAGGAGTAGTGACAGGCTTCTGGGAAAGCCAGCAGGGTGCCAACCCCCCATCACATTCCTCTGCCAAGGACACTGTGCCCTGCCCCACTCCCAGCAGTTTCCAGCAGCCTTCTGCTCTTCAGGGATATTCCTGCTTTGTTCCCCAGCTATGAACTTGCAGACTTAAATCCAAGCTACACCAAACCTCCCAAGCTCATACAATCATTTTTAACAGGTATATAAAGCAACTGTAATTTACTGAATTGGTGTCTTTCTAATTGTAATATTCAGAAGCTCTTTTTCCATATAAGGCTGTTGAGGTTTTATTTTTTTCCTGTTTGGCATAGACTGTTTTTTTATTTCTCCTTTGTATTTTTAGGGATGTGGACAGAAATGACAGCCAGAAACACACAGGTCTAAGGAGTATGTGGACATTACACATCCTAAAGGCAGTTGACAGCAAGAGTGAAATGTGACCCAGAATAAGGATGTGCCTCTAAAACCTCTGTCTCAGCCCACACTCTCAACAGCAGCACTCTTGCATGCTCCGTCCACCAGCAGCAGTCCCCAAGTGCCCAAGGGAAGGCACCCCAGCAGAATTCACCCCGTGCTCCCCACGTCACCGTTCCTTGTGCTGCTGCACTGACGAGCTGTAGGAGCAGCTCCTGGCCCAGACAAAGCAAGACCCAAGTCTCAGGCTGTGGATGCTAAATGCAAGCGGCAAGCAGGGAACCCAGTGTCTGTGGAAAAGCAAGTCACATAACTTTCTCAGACTTGAATGAGAAAGTAGCCTGGGAAATCATAAGGAGGAATCCAAATAATCATTAGAAATAGAAGACAGCCTTGCAGGTGTTTTCAGTGTCTTGTTTTATTGCAAGAGAAGGTCAAGGGGTGGTGTAGACATTGATGGTAATGTCTTAGTTTACTGACCAATAAGAATTTTACTTTTCTGGACCTTTGCATACTTGTCTATAAAACAAGATCTGCAGTAATAAACCTTGCTCTCATGTTCAAATCACAAGAGACTCCATGTCGTTACTACCTCACTGTCTCCAATATAGTGAGACGTCAGGATTTATAGAGGTGACATGTTCTTGAATTTCACTTGAAAAAGAACAGAAGGGCAACAATGTTCAGGTTCAGGTGTTCAATCACAAAACACCCCAAGATGTCTCACATACAGGGGGCTAAACATTGTAGGCATGCAGACAATTGAGGAATTGGTGAAATAGTCTCCAAGAAAGAAAGGGGCGTTCACAGCCCCTTTGAGTGTTCCCAAATATTGTCCTTCCTCAGTCAATTTCATATCCTTCCCCAGAAGAAGGTTATGGCATTGCTGAACACACCTCTACCCTTTCACCTGAAGAAATTAATGGCACGAGACTTAGGTAAAAGACAAGACTTCAAAATCCCTTTAGGTCTGTGCAGGAATCAATATCTGTGTCTCTCTAGAAAGACTGGTTGTGACAGATTATTTTGGAAAAAACATACAAAACAGAGTCTCCATAAAGACATTTCAAGCCACTTTCTCTTTAAAATCTGTTGATGAGCCTTGCCTCCAACACTTCTCCATGTGTTTTATAGAACACTTGCAAAAGATCTGGATATTCCTTGGCTCACTGACAAGATGAGGCCATGATCTCCAGGCAGTCCTGGCAGCTGCTTCAGCTGACAGCTTAGAGCAGCCCATAACACATTCCTCTGTAACCCTCCCAAACAAGCTGACTGGGGGAGGGGGTTGTCCAAACTCCTACTCTTTGGACCACTTAAGGCAAAGAGTGTGCATTAAGGAGAACGGTTGGAAAACACCCCTATATGTATCATAAAGAATTTCCATTTCCTCTAATATTTTCTTAAAATGTGGGCAACTTCATAGTAGAAGTACTGGGCTTCAACCTTTTCCTGATAAATTTATTTCACTAGACAAACATACGTCTGGAAGAAAATAATTGGCCAGAAGAAAAAAGCCACTTCAATTTGATACAAGTAACAATGAGAGAAGGAAATTTCTTTATTCTTAAAGTTCAATACTATCATATTTGAAATCCTTAAACTTATTAAATTTCTTTGAACTAATCCTATATTTTTTGGAATTAACCTACTCTTTATTGCTAACAGAACCTACTGTTCAACACTAATGTAAATAATCCTAAAAACCTAATCTTCTGGTTTAAATCAAAAATCCAGAGTTCATAGATATTTCTGGCTGAAGCAGTTGCCTGGTGCCAGGACTCCACTTAATGCTTGTCAAATTCAGATATGAGGCTCTGAATATGTGACAGCTTGTTGTGGAGGTACAGGCACCTGTTCTTCATTTCAAAGTAGCTGGGGCTACCCTATGAAGGAGAAATAAAAAATAAAAAAAATAGGGCAGGCAAGCACTTCTGTAGAGTTTACAAGATGTGCTTTGCTTTAAAAAAGCCTTGAGCCAGACTCAGCAGTAACCACGCCCTGCAGATCTAGTGTCAAACATACCTGTTGTATCTGCTGATAATCTGCTAGGATTCGATGAAGTAGCATCTTCAAGAAAAAACACACAAAGAATGTTTCACTACCACCATAAAATGCAAACTTTACTAAAGCACTACAAATGCACTCCATTTGACTCCCGAGATTTTCTTCTCTGTGAGCCACCACTCTTCTGGGAGGTTTGCAAAAACAAATCCCCAACCCCCAGTGTCACCCAAGATCTGCAATTGAGCCTCTCAACAGGCACCAGAAGGAGCACATGCTCTTAGACTCTGCTTGGGACACCTCTCACCCTACGGATTGTTCTCAGACAGTTCAAACAGGGTTTTATGGGCAGGGTCTTGCCAAAATCTGACCAAGACCAAGCAGTGTCTGAGCATATATGCCAATTCCTCAGTTTCCCTGCATCTCACTGAGCAGCTCCAGGGAATCCAAAGGACTGCTCTGATGAAGCACAGTCTTTATGGCTTTATCCTTCTCTACCTGATGGGCTTCAGAGCCTGCGGTCACAGACTTCCATTGTTCCTGAAGCTGTGTGAAGTGCTCTCTGATCTTGTCAATCCGAGTATATAAATTTTGGTATTCCTCATACTCTGCATTGAAGTCATCCTTGTAGCGCTGGCGTTGGTCCAAGGAGACTATGGCTACGTATTTTCTAATGGAAAAATCAGACTATTTTTCTAGGAGTGTACTCTAAGAGAATATTCTGATATGTTTCTATTCCAGAAAGCACACTTGTACTGTTACACCAAGCACGTGGTGAATGTCAAACACAGACCCCCAAACTCTCAGTCAGTCACTCTGGGACTCAATGATTCTACATACAAGCTGATGTGCTTCAAGAGAATGAAGTCAGGTAGCTCTAAAAATCTGCCACATTTCTATGACACCTAGTAACTACTGTTTTATATTGTAGAGATTCTCTTCATTAGCAAGTGGATCACATTTAGGAAATATCAGCACTGATTTCCAATGTCAAAGGACTAACAAACACAGCATCTTCAGGGAGAGGAGAAACATTGCCTAATTTTATCTTCTTTCTGGGTAGGAAAACTTTTTCATTTACATTTCTTTTTGAAAATCCATCTGCAATACTATTTTGGCAGGGACTGCATTTCTGATGAACTGGGTGCAGAGTTGGACTTTTGAGCTCCATTTTTGTCTGTCTAACAGCAAAGCAGAGTTAAGCATAAAATTTCATTTTTCTAGTGAGCAGCAGTTACATCACTGACCATTGAAAAGAGGCACTTGTATTACAGGCACAAGAACAAACTGCAGACTGGTCTGAAACCACAACTAAACCCCAAATCATATCACCTCTTAAGGAGGGCAGAACTCATTAATGCTTGAAGCCACTGATGGGAGTAAAGCCTTCTTCATTCCCTTCCCCCTCAAATCAACACAAGTGCAGTTCTATCAAACTCATGACACAAATCCAAGATGAAGTGGCAATGAGAATAATAGATATCACTTCAACACTGCCACACCAGTACTTCTGCTCCTCTGGCCCTGAAGACAGGCTTCTTTTTGGATGACAAGAACTCTTTCCTCATGGGAATGAATCCTTCAAAGCATCTGAGATTAATATTTACAAGCAGGAAATCTTTAATAACTTGAAATTCAGTACCAAGACAGACAACATATACGACTGATGCACCCCAGGCCAGCTGCACCTGACTGGTGTGCTGCATGGTTTTGAAAAGAGAACTGCAGAGGCCTTTCAACATTTTGGGAGGTAGCAGAGAAGCAATAGCCTGGATTACTGGCTTTTGCCCAGGGACATCCCCTAGCAAGAGCCCTACCACAGACCTCCCTCAGCTGCTCCTCTGCAGGGCCCGCCTTGCCCTCAGCCCCCCACGGAACATCCCTGGCTGTATCCAATATGAGCCAGGGCCCTGCCACGCCTGCTCCAAAGGCCGCAGCTGCCCCAGAGCCCAAGGGCTGCAGGAGGCCTGACTGCCCTTGCCAACATCACAGCTCTGACAGAAGCTGAGAGCAATTCCCACTGCTTTATACCACACACACACACACACACACACACTTCCCCCTCCCCTCCTGCACTGCAAATCCCATGACAGGATGCAGCACCACTGCTGCAGCTGGCCCTGGGCACCTGCACTGCAGCAAGGAAGGGCCTTTCCAGGCCTAACCCACCTCGGCGCTCATCTCAGCTCGGAGCCTTGGAGGCCCAGCCAAACCTTCCCCAACTTATCCTTTCCACACAGGAAACAGCTTGACACTGCACCCCACTGAGAGTGGCAAGGGTTAATGGCAATTTTACTCACCTCAAGTCGTCTGGTTGGTTGGCTGTTGCAGAGCATGTAGAGGCAATGGAAGTATCTTTTGTTTCGCCTGCAGAAAAGTAGGATCTTGATTACATAATCTTAAATATCCAAAAACACCCACTGTATTGGCTTGAACAAGTCCTTTTAGAGCTTCCTTCTCACAGCATTTTATCATAGGAGGGCACATGTGACCTTCTCCACAGTAGCCAAGTCCCAGGGTTTAGAAAGAGGATGGTCACTTTGTTCTACAGGTTCTGCATTGCTACATGGTATAGCAGAAGTATAAACAGAAGTGTCAAAGGGGTAATTAAACTGGACAGAAATAGCAATAATCACAGTATGTTCAATAGAGCTGGTAAGCTTTGGGGTGGGCATTTCATTTCCAAAAGTGCATTTGCTCTCATAGCTCAGTCCACACAAAAGCTTCAGCCTAAGCCCCAACTTGAAACACAGTACAGATTTTTCCAACAGCAGTTGGGCAGAATTTTCTAACAGGCTTCTGAAGAACAATGCTCACATCTTTAGAGACTCAAGCAGGAATCTTTCCAAAAGACATCGCAAGGTTTGCAGCTACCATGTGTATGTGCAGAAGAAATGTGCAAAGACTGTCTCAAGGCACCTGTCTCTACAAGCACAGCACCACTTCAAGAGTAGACATGCCTCCAGGCTAAAAAACCCTTGTCATTTGCGAGCTCAACCTCCAAAAGGGACAAGACATAGATTTAACAAAGCAACTGAACTCTGCCCTACTGGGTGTGTCCCTCTGATGACAAATCAAGTGCTCCTTGTGGATTTTCTGTTTAGCTTTTCAATGCTGTTTTCAGTCTGTACCATTTCTAGAGCTTTTGAAGACAGAAATTCTGCAGCTAGGATGGAGAGGAGCTCCCAGGCCACTTCAAACTACAACTCCAGGAAACCACAAGCCAGGTTTTGTAGCTTCCATGGAGTTTTCATGGAAAGGCTGAGTTCAACAAACAGTGATGAAATCATTGAGATGCTTACATGTTTCAGTAAACTAGTCTGCAGTAAACGTCTGACAGGTTTCTATCTCCAGCATGCAGACTTGAAAAGCTGCTGATGGAAAAAGTGGTGGCTCAATCAACTGTCTGAGTCAACTGTGTGTGTACTAGAAATCAAATGAAAAGAAAAAAATCCAATCCCTGTGACTTTCTAGTGCCTGGCTCTTCCTTTTAACCAGGTTCTCCCAACAGCAATCTATTGGACATTTCTTTCTTCTTGATTGGTTTTGCACTACAGAGGGAGAATTTCTAAAAATTAAGATAGTTTTAGATAAGGTTGCAGAAGCACAGATTTCTGGCCTTTGCTGCTGCTGTCTTTTAAACCAAGAGTTACAATGGAATGCAATGGCAGAAAAAAGAGTCTTGGATTTTTCATGACCATAAAGCAAGGAATAATGGTAGAACAGAAATGTAGAGCAGTGCCTTCATGTATGAACTTTTCATACATGAAGGAACTTTCAGCAGGTGCAAGAACACAATTATCTACTTGAGAACACTGTCCAAGACAGATGTTCCCATAAGAGATAAGGCAGCACAAGGGGAATTTAAGAGAAGCACAGATGGCATGAAGGAAAGCACCAGCCTTGGCCTAACAGTGCTGAAGGTTTGCAATTAGGACACCAGACAAACATTCCACTGGAGAGACTGTGGGTAAGGGAATAAATACTTCCATCCCTGCTAGCCCAAGGTGTGGGAACATCTGTGAGCACTCTGTGGAGCCAGTATAAAGGTGATACTTTCAGAGCAACTTGGGAACCCCCACCACCAAGAAGACCAGAGGGAAGAAGGACCAATTGAACAACACAGAATCCAGGTGGTACTGATATCTTCCTACTTAATGTCTTACTCTTCTCCCACCCTGCCTCTCTTCCCTAATTTCTTTTTATCTCCCTAGTTTGTATTAACTGTTGAATAACATTTTTGCTATTGACACTGGAAAAGGGCTGCACTTACACCTTAATTTGGGCAGAAGCTTCTCTTAATAACCAAATCTTTACACCACAGTTATCCACCCAGGACTTAGGAAAGGCAGCACATTAATACCTTCATCGAATTCTGAGGGACACAACTGCTTCAGCCTCCCCAGTTGGTTTTTCTTTCCATTAGAATTGGGGATCTCCTCCTGCACCCCAGAAGGCTCTGGGATGCTAGAACTCTGAAATTTGTCTTGTTCTTGCACCTCACAGGTGCAGGGGGAAACGGAGCCAACACTTGGAGACATGTTCAAAGTGGAAGTGGATGTGGAAGGCAGCAGCAAGGAAGAGAAGTGGCCATCAGCTGCTGGCTGGTTGTAACTGAGCTGGTGAGCAATTCTCCGCTTCTTGCTCATCACAGGACCACTAAAGTCAGAAGCTAGAGGCCGTTTCTGCAACAATAACAAAAGAACTCATTCATCTATGTCCATACATCTATGGATCTAGTATCTAGATCAAGTTTCTCTCCCATTCTGGAAAAGTAGCATTTCTGAACTGGCCGTGCTTGAAAACACATCTTAACTGAGAACAACATTGAAACCAGGAAGTACTGCAGGTAAATACATTCTCTGTCTCATTTCTTGTTTCACATCTTAAGACTTAGCAAGTCTTTCTCCAAATCATGGGAGAAAGACACTCCCTTCAGCAGTTCTATCAAAGGTTTCCCCAAAGAGGGAGAGGTCTGGTCTGTTTTGTCTAGTTCTCAATTTCCACTAGTACACACCAGGAAGAGACTCAGCTTTTGCTGTCACACACCCACATGATTTACTAAAGAGGCATCTGACTGTCTTCAGGTTTTATGTGGTAAAGACAGGATTAATCTTCACTGCCACAATCTGTCAGTACAAGGTGTGATGGCTGGTTGTGAATTCTCATCAGACTGAACAAAAACCTCAGACACATGTAAGGAATTCCTGTGCTTTCAACAAGAGTGACCTTCACTCCAACAGCCACCCCACACTTTATACTCAAAAGCTCATAGCTAGGAATCTTTACATTTTTATAAGAGAGTTTCACAAGTGGTGACTAAGGAGCCCTCACTTTTCCTCAGTGCCCTTCAATCATCTCTCAGCACCTCCCAAGGACCTTCTCAAAGGTGCTGGCTCCAAAGCCACGGCACATGGCCACAAGTTCCCCACTCCCACTGCAAACTTCAGGGCTGAGGATGGAGTAGAACAGGACAGCCATGCTGTGCTCAGGCAGAGTGAGACAGGAGAAAAATAAAGGCAGAGAGAGACACAAGAGAGAATATCAAGGGTCTGGAGATCCTGCATTGGTCCTGACATGTGCATAGTCTGGAACTGGAGTCAACAAAGAGAGTGAAAGAGAGAGAGAGAGAGAGTGAGAGAGAGAGAGAGAGAGAGTGAGAGAGAGAGAGAGAGGGGAAAGAGAGTGAGAGGGCCCCATCTGCTCCACCATGGTGCAGTCTCTCATGTACAGTAGATTTCTCATGTGCTTCTGTCACACATGCATAGCTAATCCTTAGAACCCTTCTGCAGGGAATGAGTTGAGGGTGCAGACTGCCTACAGTCACATAGGCTTCTACGCAGACCACACCGGAGTAGTGAGAGACACCATGGCAGAGCTACGAGACAGGCTGTCTCAACGGAAGGCAGAGAGAGAAGCCCAGCAAAGCTGGTTCCAATCTTGGTTCGACCAATCTCCGTGACTACAATCTCCTGTTGTCTACCCTGATTGGACCAGTTGTGATGATTTTACTTGTGTTAATTTTCGGACCATGTATTTTAAATAAGCTTGTGTCCTTTGTTAAGAGCCAACTAGAAAAAGTTAACATTCTGCTTATAGAAAGGCAATGGATGCTCTAAAAATGCACTTAGTCACTGCATGTGTCTTATATTTACTAATGAAAACTGCAGTATCCATTTTATAAGCTTTTAGCCTTTTAGTTAAGTATAGTGTATCCTATATTTTATTCAAGTTTATACTATCTATTTTTAAAACTTTTATAATATAGATAAGTTAGACAAAGTGTTTAGAGATACGTATATAGAAAATAACATTAGAACTTTTTAAGACTAATACACCTTATATTCTAGCAAATTAGTTATGCATAGACGGGGGGAATATGTTGAAGAAAGGGTCTTGTGTTCAGAACACATCGGGTTGTGATGGAAAGATAGAGTCACCCCCCCTTCTCCACATAGTATGGTAATGACTTCTGCAATTAACCAATAGCACCTAGCTGTGATGAAAGCAGATGGGAGTACCATAGTAACCCTAGGTTATAAAATGTCAAATTCTCCTGCAATAAACACCATTTTCGCCATCCATCACATTGATGTCTTGTGGGTAAATGGTCTGAGTGGCCAAGGGGGACTGCCGTGCTGGCTCTGAACCAGGGTGTTGCCTTGCTTGAAAAGCTACAGTTACACTGGGAAATAATACTTTTACTGATGGAGAAATGAGATTTTAGAATTTTTAATAACTCTTTAAATAATAAGTACAATAACTGTTAGATACTCTATTACAAAACAGTAAGAGAATAACGATAAAATAACTACAAGGATAACAAAGGTTAATAGTAAGACAAATAGACGAGAGTTATTGGAGAGAGTGGTTCATGGTGGCTTTTCATCATCTTGCAGTGGTGCTACTGGACCTTTCAGTTGTCTAGTGTGGGTCCAACATTTCTCTAGTGTCCAGATGGCTGTCTCTGTGGTTAATTGAACTTGGAATGGACCTTCCCATGATGGAGTCAGGGACTTTTCTTTCCATGTTTTAATAAGTACCCAGTCTGCAGGGGAGATGTTATATAGACTGAAGTCTAAAGGAGGATTCTGGGATAAGAGACCTCTTTCCCTGAAGTCATTTAGATTCTGGGCAGTCACTTGAATATATTTTTGCATGTTCACATTCCCACACTCTTTAGCAGTTACCTCATATGGGGTGATTAAGTAGGGTAATGCGTATAACATTTTGTAAGGATGCCAGGGGTTATGTAGTTTTCAAGTTATTCCTAATTGCTGAGCTACTTGTTGCAATACTAATGATGTAAAATGGGTACCTTGATCAGAATCAATTTTACTTATAATTCCGTATTTTGGGACTATCTGTTCCAGGATTAC